CGACCCCGAAGAACGAAGCAGCAAGCATAGTTCTATTTTCTTTTTTTAAGGGAAGTACATCCTCTGTATTCTGTTCTTCCATAAGGTTTTGTACAACCCTTCATCGCTATAATCAAATCGTATGCCCGGCGTAGTCGAGTTCTTCAGTTTTAGGGGTCGAACTTTTGAACCCTCACTTCTGATAAAGAAGTAATAAATCTCTTGTGCTAACTCTCTAGATTTTGGGGGTGCAGATAAATGGTTACTGATGACATTTAACGAGATTATCGAATAGCAAAAGCAACAACGCCTTAAGGTTTTACTGAATTATTGGTAGATTAACTCGACCAAATTTGCCCTCACATAGATATTTGCTCTGACACCATGACATCGCTTTGCTTTTGCCCACTCGGCCCCAAACGATAAAATAAAGGACCGGAAATCGTAAGAAGATCGTACTGAAATGAAATGTTTAACCAATGGAAAGGGAGCGAAACAGAGAGAGAGAGAGAGAGAGAGAGAGAGAGAGAAGAGGGTGTAGAGAGAAAATGAGTGAGAGAGAGTGTGTGTGTGAGAGAGAGGGGGTCCGAGAGAGGGTAGAGAGAAAATGAGTGGGAGAGGGTGTGCGTGAGAGAGATGGAGAGAGAGAGAGAGAGAGAGAAGAGAAAAAATGAGTGAGAGAGAGAGAGAGAGTAGGTGAATAAGAGGGAGGGAGAGAGGGTTAGAGAGAAAATAATTGGAAGCGAGTGTGCGTGATAGAGAGGGAGAGAGAAGGGGTAGAGAGAAAATGAGTAAGAGAGAGTGTGCGTGAGAGAAAGATAAAGTACGTGTGTGCGCATGTGCGAGAGAATGTGAGTATTTGCGTGTATTCTAAGATTCAGTAAAAACTTTCTATTTCTCTGAGATAGTGCGTGTGTTCAATGTGCATGTAAGAGAGAATGTGTGCATTAGTGCGTGCATGCGAAAGAGAGATAGTGTGTCTTTGCGTGGTAGAGATAGAGAATGTTTGTGCGTCAGGTAGAGTGTGTATGTGTGCGTGAGAGATAAAGTGCGTTTGTGTGTGAGAAAGAATGCATGTGCAAGTGTGTGTGTGTGTGTGTGTGTGCACTCGCATGTAACATACAGGGAGCATAATGTGCGGATGTGAGAGATAGAGAAAGAGAAGGAGAGTACATGTGAAAATGAGAATGTATGTGTGAGTGTGTGTATGTGTGTGAGAGAGAAAGAAAGAAAGACATAAAGTGTGTGTGAGAGAGAGAATGTGTGCAGGCAAGAGAGAGAAAGAGATAGATAGAGAAATGCGTGTGTCTATGTGCGTGAGAGAGAGACATACAGAGAGAGAGAGAGAAGGAGAGAGAAACAGAGAGAGAGAGAGAGAGGGAGAGAGAGAATGAGAGAGAGAGAGAGAGAGAGAGAGGGAGAGAGAGAAGGAGAGAGAGGGAGAGGGAGAGGGAGAGAGAGAGACCTTTTTCATTCCAAGATTTTAAAATTCTGCAAAAAACTTTCTATCTCTCTGAGCTTTTCTTTCAGTCGGCTTTGATAATATTTATTATTTTCTTCATCTAAAGAAATGTTTGCTTTTTATTTGCTGTCTAGTGAGATATACATACGTACATACTATTTGTTAACCAGACGCATCTCCGTGGCTGAATGGTAACGGCACGTAAGGCTATATGACGGTTACAGGTTCGATTCCTGTCGGAGAGCGTATATTTTCCACGAAATTTCTCGAAGATTCAGGCTGGTAAATTTAATTAATAATTTAATTTAAAAAAACAGACCATTTACTTAAATAAATTATATATATAAAAATAACGTAAAAACAGAAAATATATTAAATAATTGTCGAACTTAATACATTTCATAATATTCATACATACATACATAACCGGCTACTCATTATCCATCCCCCATCAGCTAAAGCGTCTAGCCAATCCCTGTTGCAAACGCCTGCTCAGGCACTGTTGTCTTTATTCAATACCTACAGAGCCAATATGTGGTTTGTACTGCAACTATGCTGATCGGACATGATTCTGTTCTACCCATTGTAGGTTGTTTAAATCCAGAAAATATTTTTTTCAAATTTTAAGATATTTTTTAGATAATGGTTTAATGATACAAGTCTTACTAATTAACCCTAAGCTGGGGGAGAGAAGAGCTGGATTCATATCTTTTCCCAAAGGTATTTGCGCGTAATTGGATATAATGAACCCAATGGGAATTGGAACTCGACTCTCCGATTAACAATTCCGAGCCATTATCCATTACACTAACCACACATCCAAGCTTTTAGCACTTGGTATTTCCAAGCGGTCACCCATCTAGGTACTGATCAAGCTCGACGTTGCTTAACTTTGGTTATCGTACGAGAACTCGATTCTCTGATTAACAATTTCGAGCGATTATCTATTACACTAACCACACATCCAAGCTTTCAGCACCTGGTACTCCCACGCGGTCACCCATCTAAGTACTGATCAGGCTCGACGTTGCTTAACTTTGGTCATCGTACGAGAACTCGATTCTCTGATTAACAATTCCGAGCCATTATCCATTACACCACCCGCACATCCAAGATTTCATCATCTGGTATTCCCAAGCGGTTACATACATAACCGGTTACCCATCTAGGTACTGATCAGGCTCGACGTTGCTTAACTGCGGTGACCGTATGGGAACTCGGTTCTCCGAGCCATTATCCATTACACCACTCGCACATCCAAGCTAACAGCAACTGGTATTCCCAAATGGTCACTCATTTAGATATTGACCAAAGTTGACGTTGCTTAACTTCGGTGCCCGTACGGGGAACCGGTGTTTCATCGTAATGTGGCTGGAAGCTGTTATTCTACGAGATCATTAGCAGAACAACAGAAATAATGAACGAATATATTGTATGTAATAACCTAATAATTAAATATAATAATTAAAGATAATTCTTATTTCGAAATTTTTTGACATTGATTGGTTTGGTTTCTTTTACGGCATATCCCCCTTAACGGGTTATTTAATACCGACAAGATTTTTTATTGCTGGTAAGATTATTTCCATAAATGTATTGCTGCTAATATTTTTTTTTCAAAAAATGTATTATTGGTAATAACCTTTTACAAACATGTATTACTGGTATTAAAACTTATTTTTACACTTTCATAGCTAGGGTCAGCATCAGCAATTAAGAGGTGGTTCCACGCTCCTCAAAACCTCCTGGTCAGAGGCCTTGCTGTTGGATTTAGTATATCGTCTTACCTAGGATGGTTTTTGGCATTGAGAATTTATGCAAAGTTAAGCTGAATTATTTCAGAGAGAAATAAATAAAATTTATTCTAGAATTAATTTTGTCTTCTTCTCCTATTGTCTTTAAACAAGTTTTTCTTTTCTCATATTATTTGGCACTCGATAACCCTTTGCATCGTAGTGGCTTTATTACTTTACTTGGGGTAAAATGATTTAAAGAAAATGCAGATCCATCAAATCGGGAATATCCTGGCCAAAAAATGAACGTATGGTAAGCCTATTCCTATCTCCAGAGATTTTCATTTTCTTGCTTTCCAGTTAAATTTGATCTTCAAAAACGTAAATGCAGTGTCAATCATTATCTTCTCTCTTGTTAATTTCTGTTCTTTCATTGTTAAATCTCATGAATAATGTTTTTCTTTTTTTTATATTCAGTTAAACTAAATAACTCTATGCGTCTTAGTGGCTTAATTACCTTGCTTCGAGTGAAATTTAAAACAAAACAAAACAAAACAAAAAAGCACATTAACTGCATTACTCGTTTATGAGTGTGACCATAATTTCTATTAAAAAATGCTGCTTTAATTAAAAGAGAAAGTAATTTGTTAAGGTAAAAATATATAGAAAGTGCTCTGATTTCTGAATTATTGGCGGTAAATTTCTATTCGTTTTATTTTTGAAAGTAAAAGTATTGCGATTAATATTTTAGTCACTTGTACATTGCACTGACAATCTTTCAACCTCTTTCCCCCAGTTACACACGCGCAACCCGGAGGTGAAAAGTGATGCCAAATTTCTAATGCGTTTTAATATATCTGCAATTAACCACCATATTTTGTGTCACAGGGATTATTTTACGAACATATGAATTCTTATCTGTTTGTGATCAGAGATTTAGTTGAAGCCACTCGATTTAAATTTTACTAAATTTGATTTAAATTTATACAGTGTTCGTCTTTACTTATCTTTACTATAAATAAATCAATACATTGAAAAAAAAATCTTCCTGCAAAATCGATTAAATATAAATTCTTCAAAATATCAACATCATTTAATTTCATTTTGAATAATTATAGACTACGCTATAATTTTAAGTACAGCAGGTCTTTCTATATGCAACCTGATCTCCTTTTCTTGCTAATGAGATTTTGTATTCTTAATAGGAGGCATTACTTGGCACGAATACGTAAATAGCTCGTATTACAATAAAACATGTTTTACATGTCAACAATATAGTGAAATTTCCCAGAATATATAAATGTGTGTTTGTGTGAGTGTGTGAGTGTGTGTGTGTATGTGTGCGCGTGCGCGCGTGTGTGTGTATGTGAGTGCAAGTGTTTTATTTTATTAAACAGGGAAATTAATAACAACTGTTCTAAATTTCATTGTAAAGAAAATACCCGCATCAGGAAAAGTATATATTTAAATAGTAACAATATATATATATATATATATATATATATATATATATATATATATATATATATATATATATATATATATATATATATTCTTTTGAAATTGGAATTAAGATATCTTTTCTATCTTAATTCCAATTGTAAATAAAATTTTGTCTGTATAATGAAAATAAACAGTCAATTTTAACATATTTCAAATTCTATGTTGTGTTAAAAGGACTTGTCTGGATTATACCAACGGATTACTACATGCATATATATATATATATATATATATATATATATATATATATATATATTTGTAGCACGTAATTTAAATATGGTATTGAAAATGACGAAATACATTCTTTTAAAGGGACCTTTTTCGTTAAACACTTCTTTAGAAAGAATCGTTAGATCGATAATAATAAAAAATAATTTTGTCAGTTTCTGTCTATTTACCTATATATATATATATATATATATATATATATATTGTCTTTTAATTTAATAATATTGTCTTTGCAGATACATACATACATATATATATATATATATATATATATATATATATATATATATATATATATATATATATATATTTTTTTTATGTGCAGTACTTAGTGGAAAGCGCTCAATATTAGTGACAGAGCTAACATATTTAGTTGTATGGATATGAGTTTGTGACCCTGGGTTTCACGCTTTTGAGATCATCAGACAAACTCAGAGTTTATATATATATATATATATATATATATATATATATATGTAAAAATTCAGATATAAATAAATGCTTTTTGGCATAATATGTTTTCGTCTTATATATATATATATATATAATAAATTAATATGGTAATCCGCATGAAATTTTCAAGAGGATAAAAGATCCAAAGAGAGCACTATGTCGGAGACAGAGCAAAATTATTAATTAATAATTATAAAACATTTAAAATACCATAGGTAATAATCTTTATTTCATGAAACCTATAAAATTAGTCTTCAATCATTCAAAACTGTAAACCAAATATAAACAGAAAAAATTACTCTAGTTTAAATTCAAGTATTGATATTGTATTGAGGCTGAGAGAGAAGGAGAGAGAGAGAAAAAGAGAAAGAAAGAGCCAAAATTATGAACACGTAATGGTGGCGTAGCGTGGTGGGGTGAAGAACCTACGGTATTTTAAGTGTTTGTTATTCATTAATATATATACATATTATATGTATACATTATATATATATATATATATATATATATATATATTAGGTATTCTCTAAATGTTATAACGATAAATAAAGATTAACTCAGATTCGTAAAAATAGTTCGATAAATTGATTTTGTTTCAAAATCCAATATTGTTCGATTAAAGAACATCAGAGATAATCCGACGGCGATTTGTGTCGTGTTTTATTAATCAGTGGAATTTTATTCACGTTGACATCTTGTTCGATTTCTGAAGTGTAAAACCAATTAGTAGCTGTCGCTGATGTTGGAAGCAGGTCGGGCAAAAATGTGGATAAAAGGTCAGACTGTTGAGCTATAAATGGTGGGAAGCAAAAATCAGTGGTATTTACAGCAACCTGGTGTTCTCGTCTGTATGAAACTTTAATCGAATTGCCAGGTACTCGAAAAATGTTCTAGCCTTGACTTCATTCGTATGAAATATGGGCGTGAAATATGCGGAGTAATTCGCTATATATATATATATATATATATATATCCAGGGTAAATGAGAAGCAATGGAGTATGATTCCACTGTACGTAACATTTAATTTAAAAGAGGGCTCAATACATAGTAGAGCTAAACATTATTTATTTTAAGATATTAAAACATGTTAAAAATCGCTACACAAGTGCATATGTTTCGACACCATAAATATGCCTTTCCAGGCGATGTTAAACTACTGACGAGTGAAAGATTAATTCATGGCAAAGCCCATAAATTTTTTTTTAAAGTTTTCTGCTTTTTGAAATTGAATTAATCTTTCACTCGCTAGTAGTTTAACATCGCCTGAAGAGACACATTTATGGTGTTGAAACATAATTGTAATTGTGTAGCGATTTTTAACATGTTTCAATGTCCTAAAATAAATAAATAAATATATATATATATATATGTGTGTGTGTGTGTGTGATTGTGTGTGTGTGATTGTGTGTGTGTGTGTGTCTATATATATATATATATAAAATATCGCACATGAGTGCTGGTGATAATAGTATAGTGCCATTTTCTTCTCATCGGTAGCATGACTCCGAATTTCATGCACAATGCTGATTGAAAACTGACCGGTGCATAATTTAAATATTGATATTTATACTGTAATGATAGTGGAGCAGTCCATTTATTTATGGGGAGAAGTGAATAATAATATAATATAAATAATAAGACAACATCCTTGTAATAAAATAATAATATAATATAACACCCTTTTAATAAAATAATAAAATAACGTTCTCATAATAAAATAGTAATATCTTAAATATAACATTCTTATAATAAAATTATAATATAACATCCTTGTAATAAAATATACTATTCGTATAATAAAATAATAATATATTATAATATAACATTCTTGTAATAAAATAATAAAATTATATAACATTCTTGTAAAAGTAATAAAATAATATAATAAATAACATTCTTTTAATAAAAAATATATATATATATATATATATATATATATATATATATATATATTACAGAAGACAACATTTTTGTAATGGCTTATGAAAGTCGAAACTATTCAGATATTGAACAAGTTATATATATATATATATATATATATATATATATATATATATATATATATATATGTACCACTTTTTAGGAGTCGGCTGTAGTCGGGATCATTGAGTCAGTGCGAACGATCCTTTCACGTGCATAGT